ATTTGTTTTTTGTGATTTGGCGGCAAATCTAATACTCTTGTTACACGTGAAAATGAATCGAACGCGAGAAAATTTTCGGTCATTGATTTATTATGACTTTCGTTGTGGGCTTAACAACAAAGCTATGATAGCGATTAGCATTTCTTAATGATGCCCCATCTCGTGCCACTATTTACAATTGGTTTTACGAGTTTAAGCGTGGACGTAGCAATCTCAATGATGATCCGCGTGAGGGACGTCCTTTAACAGCGACTACTGAAGATAATAACAGTGCTGTGCGACGCATGATAGAGGAAGATAAGAGAGTGAAAATATTACACGAACATTTAGGCGTCAGGAAGCTTTGTAACAGATGGATTCCCCATACTTTAACCGACGACCAGAAATACCTTCGCATGGACTGGTGTCGCCAAATGTTAGATAAGTTCAACGGCGGTGAGGCAATTGCTGTATTTGACAGCGTCACAAGCGATGAAAGCTGGATATATTGCTACGAACCCAAAACAAAAGATAAAATTCGAGGTATTCGCATTACGAGCCCTGAAGATTCGGTGAAAGCGTACGAAAATGCCATAAAAGAGAATGCCTATGCCTAAGAAAGAATGGGCCTACTGATTTTCTCAGTGGTTCCATCGAATGCGACAATGATGTGTAGAGAGGAACGGAGATTAATTCGAAAAACAATAAAAGTATTGGCGACTTTCTACATTAAGCCGTTTTTCATTTTCTAAACATTTTCAGTGTTACCTAGGTAACTATGAAAAAAAAACTACGGAAAGCATTTAAGCATAGAGTTTAAAATAAATACATGAATAGGTTTCAAGGCTTCGCAGGCATTTTTATAAAAGTTAAACGAACGTAAATGTACACCTAACTTCAGATATAAATCGAATTTACGGAACCTAAGGGCCTCTAGTATCATCCCACCAGCGATACACTGAACCAGGCCTATAATAAATCGCTTTTCAATGAATCAAGTAAACGCTTAGTCTGCCATTAAATTGATCAAGCGAATTTCAAACGAAAACACTTCCGGTAGTTTTAGCAATCAGCGGTTCCAAATCTATTATCGAAGCTGTGAAGTCAAGTCAAATAATTCATATAGGGAAACAAATATTATTAGAAATAAAATAATTAATTTGCGGCAGTCTCGCAAGTCCAAGTAAGGGCGTAGAGCGGGCAAGAAGAACTGTCAAGAAACATCCCGCCACTTTTTTTAATCGCTAAGTTTTGAGTCATACTAATTGTTTGATGTGGAGCAAATCAATCCCAAGGATTAGGATAATTTCAATATTCATCGAATTTATAAAAAGCTTTATTGATTAATTTACGTTGTTTGTCAACTTGATAACCACACTATAGTAGTCGACTTGGAACGTCAATTTATGTAAATAATTAATAATTGAGTATTGTCCGGTATAATTACGATAAATTTCTTACATTTCTCCTGTGTGTTCACATTAGTATAGACTTTCCTTGTGCGCAAAACCCGCTACTTCTTCGACGTGAGACCTATAGTAACCCAAAACCCCTAAACGGCTCCATAAGGTTTTAAGTTTTAATTATACTAGCAGACCGGCCACGAGTTGCTGTGGCTAAGGTTTTTATTATATTACGTAGTAGTAACCTATTCAAGGGAAACGGTAGGGGAACACCAGTCGTGGGGACCACCATGCTTTTTTGGTGGTAATGCCATTAAATTGTAGCTTATGTGAAACGTTTGGTACTCTTAACAGAGCGCCATCTGTTAGAATTGTGACTATCAAATAATAAACAAATATTTTGAAATAAAATAATATTGCGGGTATAAATTAGATTAAGTATCCTATTTTTGTTAGATCCAACTGCACACGGTCCAAATTTGATTGAAATCGGTTCAGTTTGCTAGCGTACATTATTTATATAATTAAATATGATAAATATCAAAGTAAAACGTCTCCATAAAGATTAGGGATAACAATTTACCTCAAAATTGTAAAATTAATATTCAGCACATATGCTTTGTCCTAATCGCTTGATTAATGTTAGATTAGTATGCCTCAACTGGGGCCGTAAGCCTAAATGGTCATATTAAACAGGATCCCTAAAAATTGAGCGTACATTATTGGCAATTTATAGCAATAGGTACAGAAGGCTTCTTGATTGACTGTTATAATGTGGGCCCATAAATGAGCATCATATAACAGACAGAATTTAATTTATATTAATTTATGTTATTACTATTAATTACTTAAGATCTCACGTGGAACATGGTTTAATGGTTGCAGCTCCTTACAAACGTTGTGTAAAAAAAAACATGGCGATTAAAAAGACTGGCGGAGACTTTATTGCCAGTTCTTCTCTTCCGTTCTACGCCCTTGATTTGAGAACTCACTAAATGTAAAATTAGAAGCATTAATATGTATTTCTTTACTGACAATTTATATGATTTTTGAATTTGAATTAATAAAAGTTTTTAGGCGGCAGTACGAATAAAAAAGAAATTTCTTAAGGTGTAACACTTATAGTGAAATTAGCCCGGAAACAAAGTTAAAAACTAAATTAAAGCAAATAAGAATAGAAAAAGCGTAAAGAAAACAATAAATGAATTATAAAATAGAAAGGGTAAATCGTATTCGCGTGCACAGATTCTGCGTTTTTGGTAGTTAATTTTGCACTGTCCGCTGACCGCGCTGCGTCGTGCTGCAGGCTCAACTAACCGCGCCCGTGTCGTCACACAGCGGTAAAACCACCGACGAGGGGGAAAAGAGGTGTTGTTATATTGTTCGCCATAACGTCATCTAATCCTAATGTAGTTTGATATGCATTGCGCTAATATAGCAAACTTGTGTGAAAACTCAGTATTGATATTGTCGATGAAAATATAAAATTAATCATCATGATTCTAATAATATGTTGCTGAGGTTAACAATTAAATAATAAAACCTTTACATCACCCTTAAAAACAGTTCACAGATATGAGCTTAAAAAAATAGGGTTGACACATGTATATTATCAAATTCTAAAAAATTGGGTATGAGATTCATTACTACAAACTTAAACGTACCCCAAATTTGTCATACGAAATTAGTCCCTAAATTAACACAAGAGAAATCGTCCTTTCTCATACGTAATCCTAACATGTGAAGATAAATACTAGCTAAAATATTCAAAGGAAGGCACAGACTGATTGCTTTGTGCCTCGTAATTAGGGCGCCGAAACGCCTAATTTGTTTACTAACGTAAATTGTAGGCCCGACTTGCCTTATTATAATTGCAATTTGTAAAGTGTATTTTACCTATTAAATGAGAATGTATAGTTGTCAGTTGTATTGTGATATATAGGGTAATGATATGATTTCCGATGTTTTATTGTGCCGTAATGACATACAACGGTTTGGTATATTAAATCTAATAGTAGGTTAATAATTATATATTTATGAACTGTGTAAACTTATTTTTTATCTAAGTTAGTAGCCAAAAATGTATTTCTTATTCTTTGTTCTTAAAGTGTCATTTTTTTGGCGATCATTTTTTTATAGAACAAGACACGGGCAGGAGGCTCACCTGATGATATAACCGCCCATGGACACACTCAATACCAGAGGGGTCGCGAGTGTGTTGCTGAAACATCATGGCTACTTTCCCAGCTATAATGATATCCTGGTAAAAATAATGTGGTGGTTTTCCGTTGGCTACCACATCCTAACAATATGACTGACTCTACAGGCTTACTAAGCACTCACTCATTCAGTCGCACCTATCCAGCTGCCCGTAGTTAAAGAAGTATAATGCATATTTACTAGCGGCACTGATGACGCAACGTTTTCACTGGATATTTGTGGTATTTCCTGGAAGAGCCTTTCCTAAGGGCTCCTCACTACACCTCTAACGCGGCCGGTATGTGGTCGTGGACTGCATGAAGCAGCTAGCCGCTGTTACGGTCGTTCCTATACATGTGAACCGTCGCTAAAGAGTAGTTCACACCTAAGCCATACCTACTCTTATTCTTTGGTTCCTATATATGTCATATATTTAAGTGTCACGGCATGAGAAGCATTCCCGTGCGAAAAGCGTTTACTAAAATATCATTAAACATGAAAGTTTAATTGTACAACCCGTGTCTCCGTGACAGCTCTATTATACAGAACGAAGACGAATATTCCTGTCTAATAGTTGTGGAACTGTTTAAACCAACCTAGACACGTAAACGACATTTACTTGAAGACCTACTATGCATATTATGGAAACGTAATATATATATTTTAAGTTAGCGCTTTATTGTTGAATATATATGTGTAGATAAAACCGATAGGTGTTTTTATTTAAGAATAAAATCTATATATATATATAAAATTATCGTGTCACAAGGTACTACTCCGAAACGGCTCGACCGATTCTTATAATTTTTTATATTCATATTCAGTAAGTCTGAGAATCGGCTACTATCTATCTTTCAAACCCCTAAGTGATAAGGTGTGTCCACCCCAAAAAGAAATTTTTGTAATTATGATACAGCATACAAAATTACATACAACCCCTAATTTTCACCCCTCTACGATTAACTCCTTTTTTATTATTGTAGATAGTTATTTGTATTCAACTAAAGAAATGTTTCCTAGAAATAATATAATGGCAAAACAAACGTTTGCTGGATCAGCTAGTAATGATATAATATGATAAGACTTTGGTTTTGCTATTTACACACTCATAACAGATTCAACAGACAAAAAGTAGATTTTTTTATTCAAGTATAAGAAAAACAGTAGAAGACACAATTAGCTCGTATAGTGCTTTTTTTTTCTTTTTTTTATTTATAATGTTGTGAAATGTACACTAAAGGGAATGAGCATATCTTGAAGTTGGAATGGAAAAAAGATAAAAAAATAGAAGGAAAGTTAATCAACATTTTATTACGTATATGAGAAGAAACAAATGAATTTGAAAAGGGAAAAGTGAATTTAAACGGCATTAAACATTCCGAAGTGGAACTAATTTTAAAATCTCGAACGTCGAAATCAATGAAAATTTTCTTGCTCCGGCCTAACCTTGGTAAGTGCAAAAACATAGAATTAATGTTCGACAATTCTCGTTTACGATCGTTTATCATAGCTTTAGGTCGTGCACCTTTTTGCAGCTTTTGGCACGAATGCTACCGACTGTTTTTTTGTATAATCGCTGATACAGCAAATACGGGTATTTTATCGATGTTGTGTCGAAATCTTTATTTGATGTCTATTTTAAAATACTTATTTGAGTTTTGTGGTGAATGTTTATATATTTTGCCATTATTTTTAAATACCAATCATGTATTAGTTTTTCTGTGGTTCTTTGCATTGTGTCGTAGTCTCAGTCAGGACAAGCTGGACAGGCCTTTCCCTAGATTTCCAAAAGGATATGTTCCCTGGATTTACCTAGCTCCGCATCTAGCACCTTCCGTCCACCTATTGCGAGGTCCTCCTACACTTCCGAATTATACTCGGCCTTCATTCTTGTAAAGTCCGGACCTATTGGCCATCTGTTTAAAAAAAATATACATACATAGAATACATATGAGTAAAACAAAAGTAGGAATTGATGAATTTGGAAAGAATGTAGTTGTTTTGCTACGTTGTGGAACGAGGCTAAGTATTTTTATATTGTTACAGGAAGGTGCGGCGAGGGCAGCCCATGCGAGCAACTGTGCAGCGAGTTACACGACGGCACCTACGAATGCGGGTGTGGTCCCGGCTACGTGCTACAAGTAGACGGCTACGGCTGTTTAGGTAAAATACCAGTATCTTCAAAAATACTTTTAAAAAAAAATTGATGGAAGCACACACACACATATATAAAAGAAATACAAACACAATAACTTTAATCAATAGACCTTTGCAAGACCTGCTATCGTAGATAACATTGTATGAAACATCATAAATACTGGCTAGGACTCGTCATGTAGCACGAGACGAGGAGTGAGGACGCCTCTCGAAAAGTATTTAGTTAATTAGTCTGAAACTCTTATATACACATTGACATTGAAGAAAAATAAACAAAACTATTAATTTTGACCTTATAATCGTCAAACTCTGTCTTGATATGCCAGATGTGTTATTAAGAAAAAAATCAGTGGCGCTACAACCTTAGATTTCTGAATCTGTTTCATGATAATTTTTAAATCTAATAGGCAAGTAGGTGATCAGCCTCCTGTGTCAGACACACGCCGTCGACTTTTAGGTCTAAGACATGTCGGTTTCCTCACGATGTTTTCCTTCACCGTTCGAGCAAATGTTAAATGCGCACATAGAAAGAAAGTCCATTGGTGCACAGCCAGGGATCGAACCTACGACCTCAGGTATGAGAGTCGCACGCTGAAGCCACTAGGCCAACACTGCTCACGTTAGAGCTCTCGCGAGATGTGTTATTACAACTAAAAGTATAACAAAAGACGCTCGCCATTTTCCATATTTGAAAAAACATCTTGAAAATGAAAGATGCCAGTTAACGACATGACTGGTCATTAATCACAGCCATACGTTATTAATCACAGACATTTTTCCAATACTCAAACATGAGCTCGTGTTATTCTGAGTTTAACGAAGGCCTAATTTTTAATTGTTAGGTATTGGGTTCGATTATCGCTAGCAAAAATGTTTGAGCGCCACAGAGGATACCCTACGGCTTATAGAAAATATTTTTTGATTAAATATACGGAGAAATGTATATGTCTCTTCCATTTGTAATAAATAGAACTTCAGTGATTTTTTAACTATATATTTTTTAAATCAGTATATTCGCGGCTGTGGTGCATTTTTATGAGTTCCTAGCGTAGAAATACGTAAAAAGGTTAATGAACCCAGTAAGTTTAACCTTTTTTATATATGTACACAGATTAGTGGTTTTTGGAAATAAATATAGCCTATGTTACTCACGGCTTGTAGTATTCTAATTGTGTAATAGTTTCATTTTTTTTTGAGTTAATTCTCCTAATAAAAAAAAAAAAAATCCTCTAAATAATATTACAAAAGACATTACATTTGTGTCACTGATTGATTCTTTTGTTAAACAAACCACGTTCGACGTTACAAAACTACTTAACATAAAAAGCCAATATCACAAAATATTATGAGAATACAAGAAATATCAAACCGACAGTAAGCCTAAGTATTACAATGGAGAATATATTGCAAAAATGCAATTTCATTCGCATTGAAGAATATTCTGCAATAGTGAATTCTCAGCGCTTTATCGATAGTATTTAATGCATTGGAGCTTAGGGATAAACGCGTATTCCGTTTAGCTCTTGGAGGCTTGACATTCCTCCTCTTGATTTTCTACCTCTTGGCATTTTGGCCAATGGGGCCTCAATATTCGCTCACATTTGGAGCTTGTTTATTGACATAGCAAAAATGTTTCAGAATAATTTAGATTTTGAAAACGTGTCCCGACACTTTGCAAGTGTATACTATTTTTGCTATAACTTTAATTTCAGACTTATGAAACCTAAGTTAGTTAGTTTGAGCATCATTCGTTCACTTCTATGGCTAGTTAATATAGCCAAAAGCCGAACAGTTCATAATAATTTAGATTTAGAAAACGTTTCCAGACACTTTGCAAGTCTATACTATTTTTGCTATAACTTTAATTTCAGACTTATGAAACCTAAGTTAGTTAGTTTGAGCATCATTCGTTCACTTCTATGGCTAGTTAATATAGCCAAAAGCCGAACAGTTCATAATAATTTAGATTTAGAAAACGTTTCCAGACACTTTGCAAGTCTATACTATTTTTGCTATAACTTTAATTTGAGATTTATGAACCCTGAATTCGATAGTTTGAGCATCATTCGTTCACTTCTACGGCTAATTAATATAGCCAAAAGCCAAATAGTTCATAATAATTTAGATTTAGAAAACGTTTCCAGACACTCTGCAAGGGGATGTCATTTTCGTTAGTTCCTTATTTATAAATGCCTGAATATGTTGCAAAATCGAATGTAAAATCAATAAGGCAAAATATTTCTACCAACCGACCGACCAATCTAGGCCGCAATAAAAACGTTAAAATGTGCCAAGAAGTGTCGAGGCTAATTTCTTTTAAAACAATGTAAATACAAAATGCCTGTAAGCCCAGTTAAAAGTGCTAACGAATCCGCGTCTTGACTGCCATTCTGACGATAATAGTACTTGAATTCGTCGCTGCAAACGTCGAGAACGTGAACGTGCTGATTGTATGCACTCGGCTTAAGTCGATGGCTGCATTGCGATTATGAAGTGAATTTTGTCGGTTTTATGCAGTTTAATGCGTTTTCAGCTAATGTTTGGAGCAATTGCGGGCTTGATACAAACTGCCGTACAATCGCGTATAATCACGAAAAGTTATAATATTTTCTGTTTCGGCGTTGTTACCGATTGTCATTTGTTTTATTAATGACAGAATTATATAAAAGCCGTTACACAGATCATAATAATAGGACGTATAGCTAGAAAAATGTATCTTCATTACAATAGGTTTCTTAGAAAATATACCTAAAAAACCTCTTATGATTTGATAGATTTTATAACAATACGAATGTCGTTTAATTTTGGTAATAGGCAGTCAAATGAGTAAAATATGAATATAAATATGAATTTTATTTATTTTTATCTCTACCATATTAAATCAAAAACATTTGAAGTAATACTTAAGTAGGTACTTACGTAGGTTTCAAGGTGATACGTAAATATTATTACTTAATGTCTGAGAAGCTACAATCCTTAGCTTTTCTAACATATTCAACAACACGTTCTTTGATCTTTTGAGAGCTTACATTAATGTTTAGAAATAAAACGTTGCAAAAATTCATGTAGCCTTTTAGGGGTGGGATGAAAGAGCGATTATTGCTATATTAAAAGGCTTTGAAACAAATATTAATAAGTTAATAATTATGATTTTTACTTTTAAAACTTGGGTCATTGAAATGAGAAAGTATTATTATTTATTGAGAGTGAAAAGAACGTTGCATACTTCTAGTTATACGATAGTTTGTTACGCTTTCACGCTTAAACCGTAAATCGATTGTGTTTCAGTTTGATGAGTTTAGTATAGAAATACACAAAACCTTGTACAGTGTACACCTTTAAACCTAAAAACGTGCAGAAGAATGATTAATTTTTGGATGCTATATTCTCAAGGTAAACAGAAAATACAAACACTTCAATATTCGTTAAGTCGTGCATTAAAAGGTTTTTTGTAATTTGACGCTACCATAATGTATTATGAAATGAATTGCAACCACTGAACTACGCGGGTGAAGTATTTCAACTTAATGCTAATACGAGTACACGTTGCTGCAGCTTACATTAATAGCTTACTGACTTTAAGTTGGGCGACAGTTTTCAAACAAAATGTATGCGCTGTAACTTTATTTAAAGATAACTTTCTTAAGGCTTTGCTGTTACGCTGCAATTTATTTCTATAACATAGCTTTAAAGACACTCAAAATGCACAATGCGTATAATAGAGCAATTTATTTTTACAGAGTCACAAGGAGATATATATATTTACTCGATTTCTTTAATAACCCCACTTCGTAACTGGACCAACTAAACTCTTTTAAAACCTATGTCTTTTCAGCAGGGAACACTGAGCAAGCTCGAACACGAATTTAAAGGAAATAATGTTCAATATTAGGTTAAGAGACATCTTTCTGGGATTTTCTGTAAAGGTCATACAAAAAGTTGTTAAAAGAAATAGGTAGTAGTGTTTAATCATTCAGGCTACCAATACCATTTACGTAAGCTATTTAATACCTCCGACGACTACATAGTCGGGGAATTATCTATAAAATATTTATTAAAAAAAAGCAGGGAATACACACAAACAAAAATGCAAATGAATTGAGAACGTACATAAATGAAACGTGTTTAATGAATTAAATAAAAGTTAAGAAGAGAGTCCACTTGACTATGAGCTCAGTGTGTAACCGGAATTCGTAAGAATCTATCGTTTAAGCATGTAAGAGACAAATAAATTAAAATAGGTCTTTTTACATTAGTTCACTGATTCTTACTTTAACATTAAAGCAAATAAAACCACTAATATAAAACCAATCTGTGGTACTCGTTTTTTATCAGATTTACGACATCCCCTCATTATTTACTGTAGCGAGCTTCACGTCACATTGTGTTTTTGCCTACCCCTGGTTTTGGGAACTACTATATTCCCGAAACCATATAAACAAGATAAATATTCTTCCCCTAAACATAACAATTTTTTTCACAGAAATCAACTCCACTAAGGCCACTGAGGCGCCTGTGAAAGAAGATGTCCTCTACCAAAAGGACGTCTCCTTCTCCGCGGAGTTAGAAGTTGCCCCGTCCACTAGATTTAGTAATAATATTAAACATATCGATACCACACTTCAACCTAGTAAAGAGGAGAAGAGAGAGAACTATTCATTCACAGGAGAGAAGAGTAAAGAACTAGACGGCCTTAAGAGTTTGATAGAAGATGGCGTTAGCAAAGCAGACTTGAATATCATATCTGATGGGGCAAGTGATATTGATAAGATGAAAATTACTACTCTAGGACCGAGCTTGGAACAGAAAGTAAGTCTTTATTAATGACCAGCGTAGGTTTGGAAGTATGATGGAGTCAAGTAGTAAATTAAAATAACGATTTATGGATATTATTATAGGAATAGTTATTAATATTAACAATTGTGACCTTATTTCCTTTGTGCCTTTTAAAAATAGGATTTTTAGTTCCGTAACTACATAAGCTGAAGTTCTTCTAAGAGAGAGATACCTAATCTGCTATAGTCAAGGAACGAAGAAGATATCAAATAGCCACTTCTTCCTTGTGTCTTTATCCTTCTGTATAGCATTATATTTTTAGCTTATAAGCTTATCCAAAACACAAACGCCACTTAGAATCAAAGAAAAAAATCTGCTATAGCTAATATGGATATTTCTAATTGTATGTTAGAAAAATAAAATAATGTCTGAAAATGTCTCAAATTCACTTCCCTTGTTACTCTAGGCAACTGCAACAAAAAGTTTTCATAGACGTTTTATCCAGAACTAGAATCATGGTCTATGTTATCTTGCAATAACTTAAGTCATAGAAAGCCCGTGCTGTAATTACTGTTAAATCCATTAATATTCCCACATGATGCACACGTCGAAATCTAACGAACCAATGAACAGGCAAATATGTCGTGAACGTACGACGTTTAAGTAATATTTTAAATTTTGATACTAAATTCATTACATCGAAATGTCTCTTTCAAAAATGAAGAACTCAAAAATGCGTCGTCTTATGTAACAAATGTGTACCACATGTACCACAGATTTGTCTGTCTACTTAAGGCTTACTCAATGCCGAGTTTTTTTGTTTTTAATACCAGGTGCCAGGTGGAACGTCATCGCCAAAGCAAACTACAGCAGTGGAAGGTTGTAAATGCGACCCTTGTACAGATCCCAGGTGTACGTGTATGCTACGGAAATGTAAAACTGGTAATGTACTTTTCTCATTTATTGAAAATTTTCATTTTGATCACAGACTACGAAAAAGTAAATCAGCTATATTTAGTGTCTACCACTTACACGACCCCAAGTATTCTCCAAGGAAAATAGGTTTCCGAGTAATTTTATAACTTACCCGATCAATATTAATGTAAAAGCAGACTAAACTTGTATAGCGTATTGTTTCAACTAAACTTTGCTTTCATCGATTAAATCAAATTTTCAAACAACTATTGGAAAACTAATATATTTTAGAAATAAGCTTTTTTGCTTCTAAATACCTTGCCTAACATATCAAGTTTTAAGTTTATCAGTTGCAAGTTTGGAACAATTTAAAACAAAACTTTGTGTTTGTTTAACTCAATTATAAACAAAAGTTTGATTAATTTATGACTAGACGCAACCCTTACGCTCTTTAAACTGAACCATATCTATATTGTATATGGACCACAAATATTCAAATTGTTACGTTACTATTAGTTTAAATCATAATCGGTAATTTATGGGTTATAAATAACCACAACACATGTGGTCTTATGAAGACTATTCGTCTCCCGTTTTCCAAATGTGCCTATGGAGTGCTAATCAATTTTACATGCTAAAATTACCTACCTACTAACCAATTATATTTTATGTATTGTCCATGCAACAAATAATGTAGCTGAGTGCTAGATAAAATTAAACATTCCTGCACCCGACGCGTAGTCAATTGAAATTCTGTGTGACCAGAGGCCTTACCCGACTGAAAAGTTTCCCACAAAGCTATTTGTCGTCATCTCCCTAAAAACAAAAAATATTTTTGGAGGGGAAAGAAGGCGTCACGACCACAATAATTTTTTTCAACCAACCCTGAGGGAAATACCAGATATCTGAAGCCGTATTATCGTGGAGTATTTTCCAAAAGCCTAAGTTGCACCATGAGACGAAATGTACAGTTAACAAATAAGATTTCATAATATAAAACAACTACTTAATACTTTTCTTGAGCAACGAGAGGAATTTTCACAAAAATTTTCAGTATAATACCATGTAGGTTGTACCACGTGAGTGTCTTGATTATTGGCGTATCTTTAATATTTCTATCAGAGGCCTTTAAAAGTTTAAAAGTCGCATAATTTGAATATCCGGCCAAAAAAAGAAACCAAAGGGGGGGAAAACTTCCAAAAATACTCAGATTTGTAGCTCGTCTGGACTTTTAATATAATTACGATTTTGTTAAATTTCTATCGACTTTAAGGTTTGAGACGCTCGGAAATAAGTAAACTTATAATAGTATCGTGGACTTTTTTGTAGATATTGATGTCTTCTTTAAGTTTTATATCACGCAGCCCGGACATACACCGACTCTTTAAGCCTTGACTAGTTTAAGCTATCGCGGAATATTGAATTTTTTTTATTGTTTTTTCCCTTTTGTAAATGTTTGAACCTTTTTGTAAATATTATGTATTCCATCTTTGGCTATATTTTTAGTGTAATTGTTTGTTTTTGTATAAAATTTCTGTAGCTGTAGGATTACGAAATAAATAAATAAAGTAGTACATCACTTTTTTCTTTTGTCAATAGATTCCGCAGTGTAGGAATTTTTATTAGTATTATTTCACACTGCGTTATCCATGTTTTTATACGAACAAATTTTTTTTCTATAGCCTATGTACATCAGGGTGCATATAGGATTCATTAATAAGAAATAATTGTTGAGGACGGTTCAGTAGCTTTGGAGCCAATGCAAAGAATTAAATAATCACATTTTTCGTCTTTAAAATATTAGTATAGATAAACATTATTAGACAAAATGTTTGTAACAAATGAAGTACATTTTTCTTCAGCCTTAAGAACATAAATAAATTTCATCAGCTTAGAACTTGTTTCGAAGTTACAATTTATTGAACCCATAGACCCCTTATAGGACCCTTCTGAATTACACCTCTATAGAAAGATTGCAAAGGGTCTTTGTAAAGTTACCTACATAATACATTACCTATATAACGACATCTTAGAAACGGCATATATAGAATTACATAGAATAAAATTATTTAAAATTCTCATCAATTGAAATTGATTGATGAGCACTCAGATCGTTAGGTTTTTAGTGTCAAGTAAGTGTCTGTGGTATAAAAAGATTTATCGATTATATAAATTTTAGTATACTTTGTATGAAATTATTATAAAGCATTCTTAACGAAACTTTAATTATGACTAAAGAATTTTAAAAAATATGCTAACTAGTAACATAATTATGTAAGAATTTTCCTTGTAAGACTTGGTATTTCGTGAACTAATATCGCGTTGTTAAATGCTGAAATCGCGTGTTTCGTGAACATTTAGGTATTTCTAACAATCTTTATCATTATTATAAGGATTATAATACACGGTTTTTTCTTAACTGGTTGACCTAATAAAATTATCACATCCAAAATTTTGTTCATGATTCGCCCCTTGATTTTCTTTAACCTAGTTTTACTTAGATATCTAGTTAAATAGTAACAACATCTTCATATTGCGAAGTGAGTGTTACATACAACATATTAAGTGATTTAAAACTTCGCCTATAACTAAACAATTTATTGAATTGATTTTACAAAAACAGAGTATTAGGCAGATAATGCCGGAAATCCGGTGATAACCGGAAGCGTCGGAAAGTCGTTATGCATGTAAGCTTCCGCTTTCAACAATTTACAAAACGTATGGTATTTAGATATACGCTATTCATACATATTATAATATCCAATCCGCGATTTCATACGCACAAAATAGACACTATACGATTCTTAAAGTAATAAAAAGGACGACAGACTTTACAAGCTTCTTTTTATAATAAAATTATATATTAAAAAAGGTTATGAACTAATAAGAATTTTTGTAAGCGAGCTTAGAAACTTTGTAACTGTAAAACTTAAACAGAAATAGTAATTCACGTACAATTCCTTACTCCTGAGTTGTAGAGGTTTGGAGAAGGCACTTGTGTCACGTAGTAGGTACTTAAGTAACAATGAGCCGTCGTAACTTGCACCTAAATCCTGCCACGATAAAACTTAGCTCTAATGTACGCCTGGAGATAACACGGACTTATTGCTGTGCTGTTTAAATTCTAACAATTAGTATTGTTCCCGTACTGGTTTAAAGTTTTATATATCGCGAGCTGGTTGACGCTGATAATCAGCGGGTCCCGAGCTATTTTCAGCATATATTAGCTCAACTAGATAATTCAAAGCGAGCTTTATTGGCTTAATTCAGGATAGTTCAGGTCGTGCGATCAAAGGCCGGGTATGTCAAATTGACTTTTCTTTTTATGTGCATAATTTATTTAATTTAACTGGTAAAATAAGTTAGACTTAAATAACTTATTAGTCTCTAGTTAGTCTAGATCGTTATGCCCAATGAAGACACAATTTATAATTTTAAAAATAATGTAGTCGAACGGTAAAGATAAACATCCTGAGAAAATCGGTAGACCTAGACAAAAATCTTCAAAGGATTCAATTTGAGGCCAGTGGATTAATATTATTTGGTAGTTCTATTGTTCGGTTATAGTCATAGATTTACGCAGTTATTCCGAACGGACTAGTCAATAAGGCTTTTACGTATGCCGTTATTTTGTTACGCTAACGTTTGGAAAATAAGAAAGGAACATTGGGAATACGTTTCATAAGGACGATATAATAGTTCAAATCGAGTTTTTGTATCGTACCTATAAGGGTAACCAGTTTATGCTAAATAGGAGGTTTACGACCTGGTAAATAATTAATGGATATACCACAGGATAAATTAAAAAAAAACAGTGTCGCTATTCAGGGTAATAGCGTCACTGTTTTTGCTTCAGTTCTATGACATATCTCAAAGCTGTAGTCAACGACGTGCTATTGTATTTTACAATATGAGCAAGTATTAACCGCTAGATTCAAACGAACGACCTTAACACTGAGAGTCTAACACTGGTCTCTTACAGCCAAAGTTTTTTTTTCATTTCTATGAAATTTCATTACCCACAATGGAAATTAAATTTGGAGGAATTTTTAATTTGTGATGAATGTGAATAGTCGGAATAGCTTCTAATGGTAGCAGAAGTGGGTCAGATTATTGAGAAGTTTCCTGATAAGGGTGAGGGTACGGAAATCAATACGGACCTTTGAACGGTTTTAGGGGTTAATTATCTTCCAAAATCTTCAGTTAGATAAAGTATTTTTTCCACTCTGCCAATGTTATACGACATACATAAAAAAAGATCAAACTGAGATATAGAAGTTATGAAATACATCAATGAAAATAGTTAAAAAGCACTCTAACAAATGTAATTTAACCTTTACAAGACGCATGTTCACAAGAAAATTAAATGGTAACTTTATTAAGCTCTGAAACCCTAGTAATACACAACGCTTTCAGTTCAAATTTCTTGTTTTAGGAATGAATTTATAAAATAAAAAGTATTGGTAAATAATTTTTGAATTCCATCCGTTAAATTTGACACTGTAGTACGGAAATGTTACGGAATGGTTATTATAGAAAAGTGTCTCCCCCCTAGCATTGTTACTTACGTGTCCATAAAGAAATCACGCATTGTTGTCACAATAAATAATTTATTTTCTTTTGGAAAGATGCGGAGGCGGCGCTTAAAATATACTTAGACAAAACAATATTAAACTTACAACTTGTATATTATTACTAAAGATAAATTTTCTTAAATTTATTACATGCTGTATATGAATATGATACAATAAATCAACTTATTTATTAAAAATACTTATAGTTCTAATTGACATAATTTCAATGATTTATGGCGCTATTTTGGCAAATAGTCACTAAATAGCATAAACCAGCCTTGGCCTATGATTGGGGAAAAATATTAAACGCTATGGGGCATAACGAGAACAGATTTTAATCTGATTTGCAATGTTCATATATCTGTCTCTGCCTCGTTATAGTCTACATCTACACAGGAATGTGCCCGTTGCTGAGTTTCTTGCCCGTTCTTCTCAGAACAAGGCCTCCTGATAGTTTTGCGAACGGATGGCGTAGTCTTGCTCTTTCGTGAATTTTGTAAACGTTTTGGACATTCATAAGCATGCTAAGACGCATCTATACTTAAGAAACGTATTTTGATTGATTTCCAATAAGGCTGTTAGGCTCTGTTGTGTTCACCAGTGAATTCACACTTCCTGTCTTGACTCAGTCTCCCTTATACAGTTACTTTTTGTCGTCATGTTCCAAAAACGTTCATTCAAGATTTGACAAATTAATCAAAAAACTAAATTTCCATCCGCAGATCAAAAGATATCGATACCACGTTTTTCCGGTTCATCGTGGATAGCATTACACGCACTACGGGGGGCGTACAAGCGTGTACGATTACGTATACGTGTGCGACCGGAGCGGACCAGGGGAGTTCTACTATTGACAGGGGAGCACGATGACCTATCTGGAGATTATTTGGCACTGATTTTAAGAAATGGGCATGTGGAATTGAGGCAAGTAATACAGACTTATATAATTTTAAGTGATGTTAATGCAGCTTTTTTGAACCTCAGTCCCTTCATACGTTAAGTAGCTATGTTATGCGCACTTCCGATTATAGCAAGGGCATTGTTTGATCACTCTAGTAGGTTCTTTTCCTTTATTTTATAATTCTTTAGTATTTTTTGATAATTTTTATTTGTATAACTTATTAATTATTATATTATACTCGTAAGCTGTATGTTTGTGCACGCCGTCCACAACTAGTGTCGAGGCCGCACATTGCTTCTTTTTGTAGTTTTTTTCTATGAATTTTTTCTTATGTGTGGCCTTGTTGGTGCGTTATTAAATAACTTTTTAGCTTTTCCGGTAAAGAAATAAGTCTAATTTTTACATATTAGACTTAAACATATTATTAGGTCAGCAACTAACATTTTACAAGGAATCAAACCATTGTACTAACTGACCATTGTATGAGCGCTAAAATTAATTGATTTTGTTATGAAAAAAGAAATTGCAATGAAGAAACCAGGCTCTTAAGCACTAAACAAGAGTAAGGTACGTTGAAACAATTAAGAAGCTAAAGTCGAAGTAGACCAGGCAAGAAGCAGTAGCTTTATAGCTCATGCCCAGAAGAAATGGTCCAGTAATCTAACGGTATGTACAAATGAGGATGACCAAATAAGCGATGGCATTGTATAGGGCAATTTTTGGATTCCCACAGTGCGCAAAAGCCAATAGAGGAGAGTGAGGCCAATTGGCAAGCGGATGAGGATCTTGTATAAGATATATGTAGTATCATTAGTATAACACTATTAATATTGTATGAACACCATTGTCCAAAAAACTGGCTTTCATTATATTATAAAGAAATTGCGCCAAAAAATCGCTCTGTAGGGTACAATACGTAGCCAGTTTAGGTTAGTAATGTATAGCTTAAGTATTAATCCTTAAATCTCATTTGCAAGGATTCAAGCTCATTACTGTTACTCTAGATATTATAGATTAATTAACAAATTAAGATATATATAAATAAAAAAAATGTATGTCATTTTCTGTTTTAGTATATTATTACAAAAATTCTTCCAGATTTTTCTTAAGAAAAGTGGCTCTGACTTAAAAGTAAACTTAAGAATTTCACACGAACTTAATTGAATAAGAAATGGAGCGCATTAACACATCTTTTGAAAACACCTCAGACTTTTCTTTACACTGACTTTTACCAAAAATATGCCAGTTCTTTTGGTCTTCTAAACCTAATTTGAGAAACTTGAAAACCTATTTACCAATAAAATGTCATTTCATCTTAAAACATTTTGAAGAATTCGTATTAAAACTTTATCGTTGACTATCTATATGTTTTTCGTCGTAAATAGACGGTATTTTTATTTGCAAAAACAATTTAAATAGTTGACTTTACAATTCTACATCAAAAGTTTAACTGTATCTTCTTAATAGTATTTTTTCCACAGACGAAATCGCATCCACAATGTAGTGGACATATAAAACCACTTATGAATTTCATTTTACAACTCAACATCGTTCGCGTTATGAGTAATAAAACCAGTGTATTGCCAAAAGCGTTTGTGTTAAAAATAATGATATACGCCATTTAGCGGTCAGTTACCGCAATAACTGTTGTATATAGATGTTATTACGTACACAAGCTTACACACTTTTCTTTATTCACTCATCTCTTCAATGAGTCAGAAATGGCATTCCCAAAGGACACTAATGACGTTATCGAACGACAAATTCCAATTTCCATTTAGTTTTTTCAATTTCAAGCTTTGCTTTGTATTTTAAGAAATAAAAACAATGACACCGAATAAATACAACAATTAGTAATTGCGGTATGTTTTTGTGAGGTATGAGGTCATATAGTGTATTAAACATCAAATGATACACTTGCAGTACGCGAGTAAAAAAACATATGAAAGTGTCTTTGTCTTATATTTTTGTTCTAAATTGTCGAAGTTTACATCTACTTATTAGTCTTCAAAAACTATTACCATTTATCTCAGCAATTAGGTAAAACGGTTTTCTCTTATCTATGTAAAATAAATATTTTTTAATAGAAAAAATATACGAAACACAATAATGTTGTTGATGTTAATTTGATCTATAAATAATAATAAAACCCTTCAAGGGAACTACCTAAAAACCGTACAATAAACGTTAAGACAGACACTTATAAATCACAAAGATTCTCTCAGAAAAAGTTGGCGTGTACATCTATATAATTTCCTCTTTTACCTAAACGATAACATTAGCATAGACAATAGATAGAGCACGCTTAATTAAAATTTCAAAACGAACAAAGCGTAAATGCAGAATCGATAATAATCGACGAGGCTTATGCGTCAGATTAATTATTCGTGCCTGACTGGTTTTACCGTCCCTGGGCTGATAAAGGTTAAAGGAGAGGCCAGGCCTAATTAATACTTTCATAGACACTCTTTTAACACAATACGTACAAAAGAACACGGTCCACGGGGAAAAGAAAGAGAGGAAGGCAACTAGAGAGGTGGTCTGATAGAATAAAAAAGACAGTGGAATCTTGGAGAGACTTGTGGATAGAGAAAAATGGAGTGGTCTGGGGATTCCTTTACGTGTGAAGAGGTCCTTAAAACTAAGGGTGAAAAAAGTTTTTTTATCTAGAACAGGAGGTAAACGGGCAGGTGGCATACCTGATGTTAAGTGATACCGCCGCCCATGGAGACACACTGCCAGAAGGCTCGCCCGCTCAAAGTGCGTTGTGACTCTAAGTCGAATTGGTTCGGAAGTACGTCAGTGGTCAGCCGGGTCCACAAAATCGGGGTGCGCGGTAATAAGTGCCTTAAAATGCTCATATTATTTTTCACGTTAAATATACGTACATAGTTGTTACGGACTAAATAGGCTTATTTATTTTCTATTTATTATAAGGATGGTAAAGCCTTACTGGGCTTTAAATTATTAATTAATTAATAATTTATGAACCTATGTGAATAATATACATTTATTTTTTACTTTTTTTTTATATATACATATATATTTTTGAAAACTATCTCTTGTATTAGTTGAAATAAACGCTTTGAAATTGAAATTTTGAGTATACATTTCATAAGAACAACGTTTTCAAAAAACACGTATGTGTGAGTAATTCTTAATAAAGATTTAATTCACTAAAGTAGTACCATAGCTATTGTCTATCTATATATCTGCCTTATCACTTACGTGCACTTTTACAAAGAGACAAATTATGCTTGAACTGGGTTTGATTGAGTTTTTTTATTAGTACGAAAATATTTTTTTTTTGAGCTAGTTACCTGTTTATTTCTTTAGTCTTCACGCTTCAGCTGATACGTTGAATAAATAGAATATATGTGACGTAAAAACTTTTATACCAACGAAGTTTATAAAGTAGAGTATAACTAGAACATATTGTTTAAAAATATGGTTCCACAGATTCGATTGCGGCAGTGGAGCCGGTGTGCTTCGTTCTCCAGAACCCGTGCGTCTGGGAAGATGGAATACAGTATCTGTGTACCGACATCGTTGGGACGCTTGGCTTCGCTTGAATACTGGGAAACGAGTGCGGGGGAGATCTAAGGTAAATTTCGACAGTATATTTGCGTGTTGTTCCCACGAGAATGTAAGCGCGTGCTCTTATTTCACGATACCTCCTGCTGATAGAGGACAAATCTTTGTTTTTAATTTATTTTATTATTATTTATTACTTAAAATGTCATGTGGAACATGGTGTAATGGTTGCAGCTCCTTACAAACGTTGTGTAAAACAAAAAACTTGGCGATTAAAAAGTGGCGGAGAGTTTATTGCCAGTTCTTCACTACCGTTCTACGCCCTTGATTTGAGAACTGGCAGTAAATGTAAAATTAGAAGCATTTCATGTATATTTCTTTTTTGACGTTCATAAGTGTACATTGTGTAACCTATATGAATAAATGATTTTTGACTTTGACTTTGAGTTACTCAATGTGTACGCACCATACTGCACTCTACGCAAGACAAAACTTGTCTCGTTTAAGTGTGTTTATTCAACAATCCTTACAAAATTACCTCCGCTAACCGTTTTTCTATACTTCCAAAAGGCAAAATTAAATTGACACTTTCAGGAAAAAATCGGTTATTTTTTAATGAATTTATAAAACACATTTCAATATTACAGTCAATATTGAACTATAAACGAATCCATATCTTACGCAAAAGATATATTTATGACATACAATATAATATTTTATATCTTACATAATAATGAAGAGTTAAAAGCCTGGAACGGCATTTCAATTGCTCTCAAATTATGCTGAACATTACAGAAATGATAATGAAGACGTCATGAGCGCTCGGCTTAATTGCTTATAATTTCACGATATTGGTTTAATTTTGAATAATTAATATCAATTATAATAATGACACTTAAATAGCGCTGATATCCGCAACTTGACAGGAACAAAAGATAAACGATTTATACGCGGATTTGTGATACAAAAATGACATTTAAATTTAGTTTTTTGAAGGCCTGTAACAGCTCTATGGGACACAGCGACACAATAATAATTATTGTGTTAACATATTATGTTTTATAGACACAAGAATTTGTTAGGAAAGTAGGTAATCAACCTCCTGTTTGTCGATCAAACCGAATTTTTGCCGGGAACCGAACTGAAATATATAAGAAAAAAATTAAACATTGTCGGAAGTGTTGTTCAGTGCCCCATTGGTTTACAGGATTTCGTGCAAAAGACCTTGAATTAAAATTTCGCCTAATAATTTACTAAACGTATGAAACTTACCCTTGCTTGTCCTTATAAAGATCCTACGCGCTCCAGGCACTAAGAAAACATCAAAGTAAAGGAGAAATTACGGCCGCTATGAGATTTCAGTTCAAATAGACGTTTAATTAAAAAGGAGATGCATTACTGTACTAATACCTAGAATTAATTAAGCGGGATTCCCCTGAGAGTTTTAAGAGGAAACTATATTGCACGGCTTCCTTTGGGTTTATGCTTAGTAACTTATTAATATACCACTATAATAGCTACTGACAGGAAGTGTCTCGAACACGTAATAGTCAGATTTTTTTTTTAAATATATAGGTGTATGATATTATACTATTAATCGGGGTAGCTTTTGTGTGTTAAGTGATTGCCACAAATTATATATTAAAAACAACTAGATACGGACTGTAGTACTTTAATAAGAATACAAGTAATATTATGTTGTGTGCGATTAGATATGTTTTCTTTGAAAAAAAATGCGTTCAGTGTTAGAGAATTTAAATAAATAATAAAAATTAAATAAGCCTATATTCGAGTACTATACTAAGGATTACATTAAGTTTGTTATTATTGTATTTAATATTGGTAAGTTAAGATGACGTGAAAATGGTAAGTTAAGATAGGTCAAATTGATCCTTCCTTCGAGCAGACCAGTGGGAAGAAAATGAAGCAGAAACCTGGGAAGATGAAATAAAAGATAATGCGGGGAAGATCGGAAAAGAGTTGTGAGACAAGTGGGAGTGGGAGAGTAGATAATTTAAATACCTTTTCAATGTTTCAATTTTACAATAACCTGTTCCAATTATAATATGTTGTTGCGGTAAATTTGTGTTTTTTATAGCCCGATTAATTATTTTTGTGAATTTGCTAAGGGGATCCTTAAAGTAGGAACTCTTTACTGTATGTAGCCTCTTGGTTATGCGTCACTAGAATTTGGATAATATAAGAAATCTTAAGTTAATACATCTCGGTTTTACAGCCCCGAGTTCTAACAAGCCTCTGAAGTGAGAACTCGGAACATCCATAGAACTTGCGCAATTCAAATAACTTTTGAAAGTAATTCTCATTCTGTATGCAGGTTCATAAAAATTCCCGTTAAACAGCCGAACTTTGCGAAACGTGATTTCGAGATAAAACGATTTCAATATCACTCCTAATTTCATGTCTACTCGTAAACTTCTGTATCATGAACAAATAAATCTACTATTATGATGTGATATTACTTATTATTGAATAGTTGGCTCGAAATTCCATTAATAAAATTTAGCAGTCCACGTCATTTGTGGAGTGAGTAAAATAGTTTTGGTACGGCAATCATGAAACTAATATAACTTGCTGTATTTTTCCCAGGGCCTCTTCTCCAGGATGACTTTTAGAGAGCCAGTATGGGTGGGTGGTGCTGGCAATACCACAGGTCTGCAGAGCAAATTGGGTCTTACTGAAGGTCTTCTTGGCTGTGTGGACTTCCTTAGAATCAATGGTGATACATACCGACTAGTGAAGGATGCTGTGTCTACTCTTGATATCAGTAAGTTTAGGGAATTTTATTTATTTTATTTAACAGTTTATTAATAATCCACAGCTTTAAAAAAAAAATATTTGAATTTTTTGACAATGAATAATACTATATACTAATAGTATGTTTAACGTGTAGGAGTGCGAAAGTGTGTGTGTATGTGTGTGTGTCCCGTTTTCTTGTGATGATTATAAAAATCCATTCCATTGCAATATTAGTAGCTGAAAATCGCGTTCAAAGTCAGCAACTGGCAAGTAAAAATTTCGGGTATAATGTATGTAAATAAGAACGATTTTTTTGTAGTTTTTAATAACTATACTATATGTATAAATTTACATAGTTACATGAATCTACTAAGTTACATAATTATGCCATGTATATAAATCATTGAAAAATTCAACACCGTGGTTTAAACAATAAATTAGTTTTGTTTGATTAGAGTTAAGCCCATTTACGATCGATCAATTTCAAAATAACTCAATAGCAATCCATCAAAAAAGAAATTAGAAAATTAAATTCGCAAGACGAAAAGAAACTTTGCTGGAAAATTATCTTGGGAAAGTTTAAAGAAAATATAAATCAGACTATGTCCTTTGAAACCCTTTGCGAATCACCTGGGGACTTACTTTTAAAAGCGAGCACTCTTTAATTGGATAAAATTATTACAACTCTAAGCAATGAGTTCTTTATTTAAATAACGTTTTTAGAATTACAAGTATTTTAGCTGGCTTCAAATGGGCCTTGCATGCGTTAATAATAAGTTCTAGGTTTTTTATCCACTTAAAAACTTTAACCCTTCAATGATTTTTTTATACATCATTTATTAATATCATCGTTATGTCAATGTTGACACTTAACTGTTAATATAGTTGTGAGTTATAAATAAATGAATAAATCATTGATATTGTACAATTATTGTATATTTTAACTTTTGTTTTTGTAAATTCCTTTGATTTGTGTGCTTTAAAAAATGTGTCTAAAATGATCAAAACATATATGCTTTTCGAGGGCAAGATCCATAATGCATTGTAGTGCATGATTGTTATTTATTTTCTTAATACCACACCGGTTGCATTAGTAATTGAAACTTTTATAACAGTGATAATTATACTTAATTTCAAAACATACCACAAATTACATTTCAAAACATCTCTCATTAAAACCGTACATTGTAGAGAGAAGTTGCTCGCTTATTATGTAAAAAAATACACGCCATTTTCTGAAAAATATGTTAAAACAGTTATTAAAACACTCTACTCAAGTTTATGAAATAATGGGAGTGCTTTATAATGAAATATTGCGTCTTTTAAGTCAACTTTTAAAATTTCGTTTGCAGTATTGCTTTTATTACATTTTTTAAACTTTGAAACATACAATGGTCTTTTTCTCACAAATTGTGTTTAGGCTGTGCTGATAAGAGACAAAATAAGGTTTAAGTACATTACAACAATAACCATTTTTATTATAGTTACAAATATCACTGTTTTAACAATATTTAAGTTTAACATATTATGACGTAACTAAAAGAACAATCAATATAACTTTTCATCTTTCCCTTATCAATTAATCCATAGACTGAAAACGGCTCAACTTTACAGCGTTTCCCAAGTAGAGCTTTCGCAATTTTAAGCTCGCTAGTAAGCTCTTAGTTTTACATGACATAAGCTTTCATAAAGCACCATACATTATGCTCAGACTTTAATTATTCATACAGAATTAGAGCGAATGAGCATTTTTAATTTTTAAAGGGATTTTATAAGTTTCATTTATATTGAAAGGTGAGTCAATCAACACCTTGATTTGTGAATTGTTATGGCACCTTCATGTATTACAATATACCTACATAAGTATATTCACAAAGTTATGGTGAAACAGTCTTGCTTTGACACAGTCACGGTAGTTCCAGAGACCCGTGACTTTTCAAGGCATTAGAATAACCCGCACAAATATTTATTATAAGTATACACTTTTACACCATTAAGTTTTAGGCTGTAAAGAACGCAAATCGTTTCCAGAGTTCAATTAATGATACTCAATTAAAGTTTATAAACATAATTTCCCTGAACAAAAATCAATACAAAAATCGGCATGAGCGTAACAAACAACTTTCGATTTATAAGTTAAAATTAGGATTTCCTAAACAAATATAACCATATCGGGTCAATACAGGCTAGAGTAATATCCTCTCAATATTCTGTATTGTCGAACCACAAAAGTTCTTTCCCTACCCATATTACAAAGGATACACATACCAAGATACATATTAAAATGGACTTCGACTTGCAAGTACAAAATTGGAGAAGTATGTTCCATTTTCAAATTTTTTATTAGTAACGAAGAGGGATATCAATAGATTAAAACGAGCCATAGACGGACCGCATGTTGCAGTCAAGACCGACTGCAATATGCGGTCGCCGCACGGCGATCTGCAGTTTTCATACTAAATTCATATTCGCAATACAAGGACCGCTCGAGCAGTTCCTGAGCAAACCGCATATTGCAGTCGGTCTTGACTGCAACATGCGGTCCGTCTATGGCCCGCTTAAATCTCTTGATTTAATGACGTGCAGATAAAGCTTGTTTACATTTTCTATTTCATTCTAGGGCTTTAGACTTTTGTAACGTGTGTTTTATTTATTTAAATAAGGAAGTCCACTGGAGCAAGAATCTCATGTACAAAAAGATATATAAAGATAAGACATATAAACGCACCCAGTTAGGGTCAATCAGCATTCCCAATAATCTAGCTTAAATAAATGTTAACTAAAACTTATTTATGCAATAAATAGTGAAATTAAAACTAGACCGTGAATTTTACATTAAATACACTACGAGTATATACTTATACATTATATATATACATATAGCATATAAAACAAATTTTCCTCGTAAATGCTTCGATCGTGATTTTACCGATGTTTTTATTTCCTACTATTTGACACGTATTTATAGAACATTAGTAAACGGGCACGAATCTCACCTGATGTAAACTGATACCATGGACACTCACACTGCCAGAAGGCAAGTGCGTTTTCGGCCTCTTAAGATTTGGTAACACTCTTTTCATGAAGGACCTTAAGTCGATTTTACCCAGCCGTATTGACTTATAAATGTTGGTACTATGCTGATATACGACGTCGTTTTATATTTCTATAATATACTATAAAATTATACATTTTCTCTTTATTATTTAAGAGTATAGGTTAGAATACATACCATCTATACCAGAGTGCTCGCCCGTAATATATTTCAATTGCATATATTCTTGGATTGGTTTTGAAATAGAAAACCCGAGAATGTTATCATTATGTTAGATTACTTTACTTTGATTCTAGTATTACGTGTATCAATAAAAGATATCCAGGAGAATCAATATATTCAATCAAAGTCCACTACAATAATACAATTTGTCCGAGCATCGCAGAAATAACTTTGCTACCGCATAGAAATACGAACCGACAATTTCTATCGGAAATCGACCATTTTCTATAAGGGAGTGATAGATTGAAACGATTTTAGGGATGAAAGTGCTTTATGAGTGCCCTACATTCAGTGAATGAAGTAACCAGAACTATATTCATCGTGAATTGTTTGTGATAGGGAAAAACATTGAATATTTTGTTAGTATTTTATTAACGTAAAGATTGAATGTATGACATAAAACGGCAATAATGTCTTCAGTCTACGGCTACAATCACTACAATGATATCACACCCTGAAACGCGCTAACAATATATCTACAACTTCTTGATCATGGCTGACGAGTCTCGCAGGCGACGCCTTTTTGTTAGTAGTGGTAAAAGCCCAATTCCAGCAGAGCTATGCTCGCCAAAACAGCCCGAGCTGAGTTGAGCTCAAGGTACTTTTGACCAAATGAGAGATTTCATTAAAAAACGGTCACTAAGGCCTTCGGGCCAACCAGTGATTAGACTGATCGAGGAACCTTCCTTTAGGTCAAACGAGCAGCTTCTTTCCTCCATAACAATTCAAATACTTTTACTACTCTAAGACACTAAAGATTCTATATATGAAATATTTATTTGACTCGAAGGTTTTATAAAACGCAGGCCTACGTAGGCTCTAATTTTAATATTACGTTCGTCGCAGCGTTATTTACGAGCGCTCTGCTCCCTACACGTCCTTTGATTTACACACTTCACACTTAGGAGTAAAAGTCACAAGCGTAGGCGTGATATAATTATGTGCGTAATTATATGATAAAATGTTACATTTCTAGTTGATTTAAAAATAATAGATTATATAGATACTTTTTTTTAATTTTGTTTGAAAATACATGAATCTTTAAAATAAAACAATGGCTGTAACTTAATCTTTATGTATTTGGTAAGTTTGTTTCTCCTAATCTAAAACCTTCTTTTACTACCCATCAACAATATCACCTTGATGGCTGGAAGTCTTCTACAGTCCGTTTCACAAAGCACTTTCTTTTGCGAACTGGCGAACTGTGGAATCGACTCCCAGCGGGTGATTCGCTGAGAAATATTAGATTATTATATAGCTTTCAGGAATATAGACCAACTCTTTTTATCATTTATAAATTATCTTTTATAACATAGACCATACCCTCATCGTTCTTTTCCGTCATTATATGAACGTGTGCGGATTATGCTGACGATACTAAAAATTAATTACGCTTTGCGCGAGCCTATCAAATTACAAATTACTAAAAGTTTCCTCCAATCTAGAATCTTTTATTACGTATTAAGCTAAATTATTTTGAATAATTGTTATGAAAATTTTCCTTTTTCAAGAAAAAAGCAGAAAGACCGATTATAATTTTGTAAAACCTAAAACGGGTTATTAATCTTAAAATACAAACAAATATGCAAACTTAAATTGAAAAATACAGGATAGGACCTTCTATGTATTCATATCTTTATTTTCTTTACTGTGTAATTAAGAAGCATAGCAATTATAATGCGCCTATCACTTTTATTTATTAAATAACCTGTTTATGAGAAGTTAGATTATAATTATTTTAACTAGGTCATAATATATCAGGATCTTTTGAAGCTTAATTGGATTTACTCCTTTTTACTGTAACTTAAAGCTAACAAAGTTGACGAGTAAAAATTAGAACTTCCTACGTTCTTCCACTTGAACAAGTTCATCTATTGAGGAAGAAAACTTTCGATCCTAAACTTTCGAGTCTTCATTAAGATTTAGCGTGATAATAATCTACGAGTAACTTCAGTAATCCCTTAAAATCAGTGGTTGATATGAGAAGGGTATAAAATGCGAAACAATTCGGTATCTAATTCTTAATAACGTATTGCATAATATAAGCATTTTATTTATTTAATCTAATATAAATTAACAGTAACAAATAGTTAACATAAAACTTTTAACAACTAACCATAGACAAGTATGAATCACAGTTGAAGCTATGAAAAGTTCAGAAGAGTTTAATAATCTGAAGTTGGTAAATTATTTTACGCTAACGTTAAATTCATTAATACCCATTTGAAGGCTTGGAAACGCATAAACTCCAACTACTCTCGAAATAGGTAAAAATATCTAAAATAATTTTCCTTACGTTTAACGATAAAAAATTGCCCCTACAATTTACAAACTCCCCTAAACGTTTTGAGGTAAAATGATATAAATAGCTCCCTTTTTTCTCTCTCTCAGCTAGGTTACGGACTTTCTACGTCGAATAAATAGTCAACATTTGGTTTGTTTAATTAAAATATATCGCATAACGTAGGCTTCCTGGTTTAAGTATGCGATTCTCAATAGATCGTGCATTTGTATCTAAAGATTTTTTACCGTGAGGCAATACTAATAGGCAAACATCGTGAGGAAATTAGTCTCAAATCCAAAAATGCCTCATATTGTGCCAGGTACAGAATCTTTAAAGTAATGAATGCAATCTATGGCTGGGATCCATATAGGGTCCACTGGATTTCCATACGTCCTGAAGAAGCCAACATTGACTTTTATACTCGTATAACAGAAAAGTTTAACAGGAAAATACTTAGAAATTTCATTTGCTTCAACTCATGTATATGGGTTCAAATGCAAACAAATATTCAAGAACTGTCACATTTTTTTTTTGTGTATTTTGATTAAGGGTTTAGCCTTACAGTTGTTAAATTTTGTGGTATGGGAGATAAATTAACGACTTATTAAAGAAAACATATACCATCTCTCGATACCATTAGACCGTGCATTATTACGGTCACGATTTTGAACTCAATTAAATCCTTACTAAAAGGTTTAAGTAACCGTTATCTTATAAACGGCTGTAAATTTAAAGTAGGAATCTTAGGCATGACGAAATTAAATAATTCACTTCATAATGAATAACGTCCTTCATTTACAGGTGAATGTGCCCCAACCCTCGCTCCTTGGCGACCATTGAATGAAGTCACGAGCGAAATAATCCCTCACAGACACAATGACTTAGATCACGCAATATACGACATTAATGATATCGTACATTTTGAGGACAACGATATTGTTATGCGCGACTCGAAGGACCAAAACAAAATGGACAACTTTGTAATGAAATATAATGATTTGAAGAAAATAAAGTTCGATAATGATAAACGGGACGTCAAATTTGTTAATGATATTGATAATGATTTGAAAAGTGAAGTAAAGGATTGCGAGTGTCAACATGGGGGAGGTTGTGTGGGAACAGTGTGCTTGTGTCCTCTGGGATACGCTGGAGACAAATGCGAGATAACGCTGGATTTAAAGGTATATTTGATAATTACGTGGTCTTCGTTCAAAATTTTTTCATTATTTTTAACTAGTAGATGTATATAACGGCTTCCTATTTTAACAAATAGTTTTTGAATACTGTGTCTGTTTATATTCATCTCTTCATTATCTTATGTAACTTTTATTGGTTCTGTTAAAGTAGTGTACAAAGATTAACCAGTCAGATCAGTATGATCAGCCAAAACTCCAGGATTCCAAAATGATCATGTTGAGTCCCTGACGCAAAAGTAAACATACCACATATACTACATGATACAAGGATTTGGGTACTTTCTGTTATTAGATTAAAAGTATTTATCTTTTAATATATTTAAACAATATCTTATCTCTAAAAGGAGCTTTTGAACCTGTCGTTGAACATTTAAAAGCTTGAAAAACGAAGCGTAATACACATTTATCGTTCTTTTTCCTAAGTCTTAAGTTATGAATGAGCACTTAGCGAAGATAAATTCAAAAGGAAAATTAAAGCTCTAATGCATAGAATAACACCACGCCGTTAAACTAATTATCATTGTCTATCTTAAATACCTCTTCATTGTAAGGGAAATACGTTTGTATTTTGTGTTCAAACAATGTTGATGGTCTTTGTGAGTTTTATTCAAAGATATTTAAGAAGAATTTCCTTTTTTTATTTTCAGTTTAATTAAAAAATTTCAATGTTTCATAACGTGAAACAACATAATTATAAGTTGTTGTTGTATAGGCTTTAGTTCAGTTTCAGAGTAGGTACAATTACTTGGAGAATATATTGTTACACTTTTTTATTGTAGTTCTATCGCATTAGTAGTAACTGTTAAGATATAATAATTATGTGGAAATAAATAAATGTGTTCAATTAATTACTTAATGTATTGTTAACGACATAAACGTGTCATTTAATAGCAAATTGAGGAGTTTATGTATTACTTTTAAAGTACAGCAATATAATAGTACAGTAATATAATCGTACAGTAATATAATAGTACAGTAATACAATAGTATAGTAAAATAATAGTACAGTAATATAAAAGTACAGTAATAATAGTATTTTAATATAGCTGTGCCCTGCGATCACTCACTCAGCATGACGTCGTCCGCCTTCCTCGCTAAATCGACTATCATACATACAAATAATTTTTAACTAATCAATATTATAATATTCTAGATTCATAGTATAATTTTTTTTCAAAATCAGTGCGCTACATTAATACATTTCCTATAATATTTATTAATCTTATATGGTAATTAACCAACAACACATAACTTCGAGGATATCAATCACAAAGTTGTGCGACGTTAATAAGTCTCCAGGAGACCCAATTTGGATATTAAGATGGAAGACAAACGTTCCCTGTTTGTTTTCTGTGAGTTTTGAGTGTTTAAGCCATTAATTGTAATATAAATGCAAAAATTTGAGTTCTTCTTTGTTGCGATTCCACGCCAAAGTTGTGAAGTGTGATATAGGCTTATTAATACGAAAACATCCCCTAAATGTACTTACGATATACGTCACTGTAGAATAATAATTCTTAGACTCTTATGTCATTTAACTGGTATTATCTAATGAAGTAATAATAACATAAATAAGTCCTTTGGACAGAAACACATAATAATGTTTTACCAAACATTGACGAAATGAATTATTTTTCGTTTCCTTTAAAATTTGGTTCACTGGACATACGAGGTTATCATTCTACAACGATATGTATCTATAATATTAATAATTACACACATATTTAAGAATCGGCATCTGTTTCGTGGTTGTTTTTTTTAATGGGCAAGTAAGCGATCAGCCTGACATATGCCGACTATTTGGTCGACGACATGCCGGGTACGGTGAATTTCTTGACCGAGTGCTAAACGCGCACATTTGCTCTATGTGCATGGGTGTCCATTGGTGCAAAGGATGGATGAGAGTCGCACGCTGAAACCACTATGGCCTAGTGCTATATTTCTTATGCTTAACTTTTTAGGATAGCTCGGAGGCAGCATTCGAATAAACTTTGCATTAGTATTTACTATATTATACATTTCGTTGATACATTTTCAGGTACCTCGATTCAACGGGTCATCGTACCTGCGGTTACCCGGGCTTGGCAATTCGGCGCAGTCATGGTTAGATATACAGGTATTAAACTTTAGTACTACGCCTAAACCTACAGTTTATACACGCTAGCTAAATTTGCTGTGTTTTTACTCTTATTTAGAACATGACCTAACTAATAAATGAACTTACCATTTTTATAAAATGACAAGTTATAGAAAAATATCTACTATAATAAATATTGTTTTTTAAAACCAACGCTTGAAAGCCTCCCAATGTTTTGTAGATGTCCTTTTAAATATATCAATAATTTTGAAATGTATATGTCGTCGTGGAACCAAATTTAAGGCTAGGCAAGTAAAGAAACGTCATCGATCCAAGCCATTTGCCTAGCTGTTTGATCAACTGGCTGAACATCTTTCAGGCCGCTAGTTAAACGGCTAGGCTGTTAATTGAACGGCTAATTAAGCTAGTTGGCTGCGTGACTTTTACTTAAAGTAAAAGATTTTTAAAGCTATAAAAGTAATCAATATGTTGACATTCTAACAACAGTACCTACCAAGAATAGAATTTAACAGCAAGTTTTCAAGCTAATTAAATTTAAAACTTTGTAGCAACTTTATTACTATAATCTTTCATTAATAATTATAAGCGGACAATCCCAACATTGTCAAACCTCGAAAATAGTGACGGCAATATAAGTTTCATAAGATTTATTAAATTCTAGTGGCGAAACTTAAGCATGGCGCAATTTTAATTACAGTATTGCAACTCGTATCGGAGTTTGTATTTGTCGTATCGAACTTTATTCAGTTCTGTTTTCCTTTCAAAGTATTGGAATTAAATACCTAAGTTAAATGGAAGTTTCGTGATCGAAGCAATTCAAATACGTACAATACTAAGTTTTGGCATAACAGTGACTAGTTCATTTGATTAAGTATATAACAAGCTCCTAGTAATAGTGTATCGGGTGATTGTTGGAATAGAAATGTTGCTGTAGAATGTTTATTATGAATACCTGCTTCGTTCTGAGAAAGGGAGCGTTCAAGTATTATGTAACGCGTTTTTTCTCTTTTGTAAAACGTTACGATGCGGGGCGGGGATTGAATTACGCGTTATTGTTAATATTATTTTCGACTAACACCACATAATAGTAACTAAAAAGACACAAGGTGGTCACGAAACGTTTTACTATACTTGAGTACAGTACTGTACTAGCGTACTGAAAAACGTTACGGCGAGATATATGGGGGGGGGTCAATAATCTCCAAAAATTGCGTTACGTAATACTTGAACGCTCCCAAACACAAAAATGACAGCAATGACTGAAATAATGATTTAAAGAGTTTCAATTGAAACAAAAAAACATTTTTTATATTCCTTTCTTGGTTCGCTATGTTTAATGAATATAAAAAGCCTGCTTCGTATAGTCAAAAAAAAAAAACAATTTTCTTTAGAGCACTGCTATTTAAAACAATAGTCTTCTTGAACATGTTTTCAACAGATAACAGTGAAACCAACGAGTGGTGACGGTCTTCTTCTATACAACGCCGAAGACCCCAGTGGCGATGGTGACTTCTTTTCGCTTCACCTCAGGGACTACTTCGTGGAGTTTGCCTTTGATTTGGGTTCCGGTATCGCGCTTGTGAGGTACGATATATCTTTAATTAATTTATATTATTTGATATTACGTTGGATAACGAAATCAGTATCATGAGAACATGAATGTTTTAGTTTAATTTTTAATTAATAGTTAAAAAGTGAGATTTAACTCTGAACAAAACAAAATGTACATAAAGATAAACGAAGACAGGTACATATTCTAATTCGTACGTCAAGTCACAATCTCGTATTGGAGATGTCAAATGTCAAACTTCATACAGAAATTATGGTTTGACAGCTGCTGAAACTAGATTTTATTTCAATAGACGTTCTAGAAATTGCATCCATCGTGAGCAATGAATTCAAGAAAATAAAATATTATGTAGAGATTTTTATAGCCATAGAGTACAAAAAGCACGTTTTCAATTCAACGGCAACGAAGTGTAAATAAGAAAGCCTATTTATTAACTTAGTTTGACGTAAGATTAATTACTATTGCAGTCCAGTCACTGTCAGCGCTTATTATCTCTACTATGTTTAATGTTTATATATAATAAATTTAATATATAATGTGTAGATTCTGTCATTTAAAAAAATATCTATGTATTACAGATCAGCATACCCCTTAAAACAAAACGAATGGCACCGAATATCAGTAAATCGGTCGGGTCGTCGCGCCTCCTTGCGTGTACGCTACGACACCGATACGACACATGACGCGTCACGATCCGTGACGTCACGAGGCGTTGCTAAATACTTGGAGCTTCGACAGCCAATGATGCTTGGAGGAGCCCCACAACCGTTGCCAGCTAGATTAGCACTTAAGACTTCGTTTAGTGGCTGTGTTGGACAGGTAAACACTATAATAACATCCAAATTAGAAATTATAAATGTTTCCTATTTTTATTATTTCGAAAAAACAATAGCACTACAACCTATAAGGGTCTGGGCTTCAGATTTCTGTATCAGTTTAGAGATCTTGTATTTAATAGACAAGTAGGTGATCTGCGCCTCACACACGCTCTAAGGCATACTGGTTACCTCACGATGTTTTCCTTCACCGTACGATTGAGTGTCAAATTCGCACATTCTATGTGCGAATCCATTGAACACACAATCAGGGTTCGAACCTACGACTTCAGAGATGAGCGCACGCTAAAGCCTCTAGACTAATACTACTATTACTATACTAATTTTTAGAATATATTATAAATAAATAATTCGTAGGCCATAGTTCTTATGTGTGTACTGTGTAATCTTCAAGATGTCGTAAGGATTCTTTAGAACGGTGATGGCAAAAATCGTATGATCAAAATGAAAAATCGATTGATGCAGTTACTCGTATGATAGAACGTACGACCTCACGGTTGAGTCGCACGCCATTAAACTGCTAGAATTGACGCTTACGATTTTTTATATTTATTATTAGTATTACTTCATTTTTCCGTTCTTCATATTGTTACTATACGTAGTCGTCCCAAAGTTCTGTCATAAATGGAAATAATGATAAAAACAAAAGTACTGATCAGTTTGTAATGAGTGATATATCAATTCTTAGTACATAATTAAGGAATAAAAAAAGCATAAAAATATTCGAAATAACCTCCTCATTTTTAATACAGGCCCTTGCGTCGCGGCCATCTTATGCAAGCGCCATATTCGTGTCGATTTATCACTGTTTTTTTAAAGATACTTCAGATTCTCCAAATTTTCATGAGTTTATACAGACCTTCCTCTCTAAGCCCTGTCATAATTTCTGGTCCAAGGATTAAGTCACTGAGGAAGGCCAATCCTCATGTCTAATTAAGACGATTTTTGACGCTCAAACCAGGCTTTAGTGGTCTTGCTTTTATGCAGACGCAGAGTCCTGCTGAACACGAAGTGATTCCCGCAAATAGGGTCTGACATGTCTTTGACAAGGCGATACAAAACCGTCTCTTGGTACACTGTAGCACTGGTTTTGACCCCCTTTTCGAAAAAAATTAACCTCAGTTACCCGTAATAGGACACTCCCAACCAAACCATTACTGATGATGGATGATTCCATGTTGCACCCTTGGAACTTTATTTTCAGCTTCTTCAGAACTCCTAGCGTACACTGTATAATTCTGTTTATTGTACTTCTCTTCAATATCGAAAAATTTTTCTCCGTAAAGAGGATATACGTGTCGGTTTTTCGCGTACCGCTTAAACAACACCCGCGATCTCTTAAGCCTTATTGCTTTTAGACGAGCATTAAGTAAGTGCCCACTCTTTTTTTGTATCTCGTAGACCAAGATCTTATTTAAAACCTTTTTTACTTTTTCCTACTGACACCCATCTGCAAATCCATCAACTTCTGTTTTCGGACAGGATTTCTTACTATCCGCGCCTTGATAGCTTTGATTACTGCTGGTGTTCTTGCGGAGCGTGGCCAGCCAGTTCTTTTCTTGTCCTCAAATGGAGACTTCAAGGTACCTATCAATAGTACCGTACACAAACCTAACGTTATATTCAAATTTTTGAGCAACTTGAAAATGGTACTCGGGAGTGTCCACAGGGTGCAACGCAATAACAACTATTCGGTTTACTTTCAATGTCCACTCCATCGTGAAAAATTACGGAAAGTTATTGTTTTTGTTTTAAAACAATAATCAAACATTCAAAATAGAATGCAATAATTTTTTTATAAAATCCTGCTCGAAATGTAGAAATAATGTGCTAGTGACAGAACTTTGGGACCAACTACGTAGTTACTATATAATATTGATTAAAACCTTATTATTTAAATTTAAAAAAAAATTGTATTCTATTAATTTTCAATCATTTTCTCAAAAATGTTGTATTAGGGGCCTCATAGCCTAGCGGTCTTATAGTGAGTAGGTGAGGGGTACCGGTTCGATTCCCGGTTGAGGGCAAGTTTTAATTTAATTAAAATTTGTTCTGCCTTTGGGAGGGTTGTGGGTACCGGGCGAGTGCTTAAACCGTACATAAAGCACTGTCGAATTTCTAAAAGACGAGCACGAATTATAAAAGTCCTATACTTGACGCTGCTAATGCACAAATCGTGCCAGAGCCATTAAAAAAAAAAAAAAATGTATTAAAACGTTGGCTAATTAAACCATATTTTTGGTGTACAAAACTATAATATGGTAGAGAGCGTGTTCGATTTGATTGGACCAACGTTTTCAACGAAGATTGAACGAAACAAATATTTTTTCTGGACATTTTCATCTCATAACCTGGTGGTGATGTTACTGGAATTTTGGTGACTGAAATCATGGAATTTCAAGGTATTGAAAGTTGAAGGGTTCGGAAAACTGAATATTTGGAAATTTATGGTGCGTAATTTATTGGTGAATGATGGAGCTATGAAGTCAGTATTGAGAGTTGACTAAACCGGTGCTGGTTGACAATACGACGGCGGATCAACGTGCGGCTCACGCAGCAGCAATGAAAGTTTGGGACAAAGCAGATCGCAGTTGTCAAATCATCGTCAAGACAATTATTGAGATTATGACCCTATTGTCGCCTGGAGACTGCTCATGATGTGGACCAAACTGCACGGTATTTATGAACAACAAACTAAACAAGCTGTTCATTCGGTGCAGACGGAGTTTTTAGTTTTGACATGAATTTAGCGGATGATATGATAAGCCATATACTAAATTTGAAGGTTTGATTCTTCGTATAGCATTGAAGGTTAAACCCGATGAGTCAGCTTTGATGGTTAAGTTGCTGGAAACTTTGCCTGACAGTTTTGAAAGTTTCAGACAAGCCTGGTGGGCCAGATCGGACGATCAACAAACTCTTGATAATTATCAATTTTTGACATCTGATAGAAGAAGAAACTTCGGCAAGAAAAGGTGGACAATTTATGCATTATGGCAACCAGTTGAAGGTTCAAACCAAAGGTGCAAGTGGAAGTCAAATGGTGATAAGCAGGCCAAAGATGATTCAAGTCCAACCAGAAGGAAAGAAGTCTACCTTCAAGTTACGTTGTCAAGGAGTTGTCATTTTCGAAGAGATTGTCCAACAGCAAAGAAGAAGAAGAAATCTGGTGATGTGGTCTCTGAAGGTAAAAATCAACTTTGTTAAGAAGTTTTCAATGAATAGATGAAATTGATATTTCTGGTGCGACTGACATATTCTTTCAAGAAAGAATGTATACATTCTTTGAAGCTTTCTGATTCACTGAATTCGTATGGGAACAATTAGTATGGGCTTGGGAAGAGGAACTATCAACTTCAAAGTGTGAATGAACATTGGACTGCTTGTTACATGGAAAACTCTGTATGTTCCTGATCCCGAAGGTTTTCGGTCACGCGTGCGCTGGATAAAGGCATGACTTTCATTCCGGATAATTTGTGAATGGTTTTAGAGGTTACGATGGTCAACTATTCAAGATATCTAGGTCAACGAGCCGGACACGTGCTTGTGAGTGAAGCTAACTGGTTAAGGACTCTTCAAGTTTGGATGAATTTGGCATAAAACAAAGTAGTTGTAGTACTCAAGAAACACGAATTCATGTGAAACCTATATGAGTTCTGTGGATCCTGTGTAGAAGGTAGCAACATCGACAACCGTTCAACTCACTCAACAGCGATCTTCTGAGCCAGGTGAGGTGATTTGCTGATTTCTGTGTCCATGGAAAGAGTGATTGGTGTTCCAGATACTTTTCTTTTCACGTGTACTACTCAAGATTTTGGTGTACTTCTTGAAGAGGAAATCTGAGTGATTGACAAGTCAAAGAAATTTAGTTTGTGAAGAATAACTGTCCCAGTTAAGTTTCCAGTGTGAGGAGGAGGAGAATTTGTAAATGGAGCGATTAAAATTATGAAGTCTGAAGGAACGAAGATGTAGTCACCAATCGTACACGCCTCAACAAAACGGTTGTGCTGAACGATCAAACAGAACAATTGATGACTTAGCACGTACTATGCTTGTTACAAAGTTCTACCGAAGTTTCTATGGGCTGAACTGTCAACGGGTGTGTACATCCTCAACCGAACTGGTTAATTTGTAGAGGGTAAAACTCTTAGATTTTTGAGAAGATTATTGAAAGTTCCATATCTTTGAACCTTTTACTTGATGGTCTCAAAGAACTCGGAAGAAGTGGGATCCAAAGTAGGATATTGTCGGGTATTCGACGACATTGATGTTTTGTTTGGATAAAGGACGAGGAACTGATTGAAGTAGAGAGGATTGTAGAGCATTCCTCTAATTTTGATTTTCTCTAAGCTACAGAAAAGGATCCGTTGTCGAGAATTGAAGACCATCTTGAAAATCTGAACTCTCTAGATTCTGAACTTACCTGAACTCAATTCTCCTGAATCTGAATCCTGTTTACCAGATCAAGTTGTTGATCTGAACCGAATCGAAGAGAAGAAGAAATGATGAAACCCCAAGACTGCAAAGGAGCCCATTCAAGGTTCTTGAGATAGAAGTACTCTTCAGAAACCTGTAAATTCAATGAACTTAGAGTTAGACGAACCTCGAAGCTACAAAGAAGCATGGAGTCGCTGATCATGTGCAATGGAAGGTGCGATGAAAGAAGAAATGTCTTCGCTGGAGGAAAATGAACCTGGACTTTGACAGAGTTACCACAGGAAGGAAGACTATCGCCAATGCTGTCTTTCGTATCAAACGAGATGCGGAAGGGAAGATTGTGTTACAAAGCTCGACTTGTTGCGAAGGGATACAGTCAACGAGAAGGTATCGATTATAATGAAACATTCAGTCCTGTAGCTCGTTTTGATACAATCAGGGCATCTGAGTATTCTCCAAGGAACATTGTTGCCCAGTTTATGTCAAGACATTTTTGAACGCTTCCTGACGAAGAAATCTACATGAATAACTGAAGGTTTTGAAGACGGTTCTAATCTTGTGTGTTGCTGATTAGGAGTCTCTATGTTTGAAGCAATCGCCAAGGTGCTGGAACAATCGATTCAGGAGTTTTTAATCTGTAAGTTTGGTCTTTCCAAGTGAAGCTATCCGTGTCTTTTTATAATCGATGAAGATAAGTGATGTTGTTTTGTATGAGTGGCTTGTTGCTGGAGAAAGATGGCATTATTAAGATTCCTGAGGAACTGGAGATGGAGTTCAAGATCACTCTTGAAGAGTTGGTTCTTTCTTGAATATGCTATTGAACGAGAGGAAGATGGCTCAATCGTTTGAGTCAGAAGGTGTATGCAGAAAGTCTTTTCAGAAGTTCAACATGGAGAAGCAAACGTGTCTCGACCCCATCGAAAATACGTGCAATTGGAGGAGAAAACTTTAAGAACATCTGTCCTTACCGTGAAGCTGTAGGATGTTTGATGTACTTACTGTAGCCACTCGTCCTGACATCGTTCGCAATTAGTTATTTCGAATTCTGAAAATCCGGAAGAATTACTGTTCTGGTCAAAAGAATCTGAGGTACATTAAAGGGTCTAGTTCGGTTGGCATCAGTATGAGGTGGTTCTGGAGGAAGTGAATTGAAGGCGTACAGTGATGTGATTATGCTATAATCTGACACTGTCGGTCGTAGGGATGTTTTCATGCATAGTGGAGGACCAATATCTTGGCTAGCAGACGTCAAGAGTGTGTTCTTTATCCACAACTAGCTGGATCGCTGTGGTGAAGTGCGAGGAATAGTTTTTGGGACTTTTACAGAATTTCTCCTTAGACAACGTTCCGGTTCTTTTGTGGACAACCAAAGCGCAATCAGTTAGCGAAAAATATGATTCCACAAGAGGACCAAATATCGAAGTGAGGTACCATTATATTCGAAAGGAATTGAGGATGGAAGTTGAAATACAACATGTACCAGTGATCAACAACTGCTGATATCTGACCAGCCGTACCTCGTCTGAATTTGCTGAATTACGTTCTGCTCTGGGAATATTTGAACTGTTTTTGAATTTATCATGTTTTTATATATTGAAATATCTAATTTTTAGAGAAGTATTGATTAAAACCTTATTATTTAATTAAAAAATTGTATTTATTAATTTCAATCATTTTGTCAATAATTTGTATTAAAAGTTGGCTAATTAAACCAATTTTTGTGTACAAAACTATACTATATAATTACACAATACATATTTGCCAAAAATGGTATACATTTAAAAAAAAAACCATAAGACACAGTGAACAGTGATTAAAAGTAAAAAATATGACACAAATAACAGCTGTTAAAAAAACAAAAAAACGAGATAAAAAAGAAAACATTAGACGATAATACAGCTTTACATAAATTATTTTTTACTTAATGTGACAAACAACCACTCTAACATTATCTTTAATATTTTTATTTTTAGTGACATAATTTTTTTAGCTAATAAGTTATGATTAACAGTTAATAATCAATGATGAAGAACTATCTGTGGTGTCGTCAGCGCTCGGAGGTGTCAACGTGGATAATTGCGATGATCCAAGAAACGATTCTTGCTAGTACGTATTGACCATAGTTAGTAAAAGTTTAGGATTTCTGTTAGGTAAATTTTTAATGCCTAAATAGCGGGTATTAAAAATGGCATAAATTTTATTATTTATTTAGCCTCCCGTTCGAGGGTGGACATTTATTTTTGAATAATTTAATAATCTCGAGGTTTACTCTATAAGTTACACTCGTTATTAGGTTTTCACATTTGCAACCTATTTAATAAAAAAAGGAATAAAGGCTTGTTGTCTTTTTTGCAGTCCACTGCTTATTGTTTGGCCGAGCACATTGGTTTTAAAGAATTCATCAAAAATTTATAAAAAAAATTGCCAGAATTTAATTTACGCGTAATTATTTATACGGTTATAAGTATGCAGCATCAGACAATTAAACTTCATTTAATTAACTGAAGTCGACCTAATAGAACATAAATTTTCTTAGATGCCCGTTTTTTTGCAAAAGAGGTTATATAATATGATTCCTTGCTTTATTGTTGTACTGAAAATAAATAACCTTTTTTTACAGTAACAACATTTGCAGAGAAAAACTTGAACCTGTATCATACCCAAAAAACCTAACAGACAAAACCCATCATACCATTGTAGCAAAAAAGGGTTTTAAATTAAAAAACCACAAATCGAAGCAAAAGAAGCGAGCGCACGTGGAAAAGTATAAGCGGAAAAGCTTTTTCAAAAAACGATTTGAAAATGAAATAAAGACAGAAGGACCGGTGTATGACGGACAGACGTACATACAAATGAAGTATTTGAGTAGTAACGAAATTAATTGGGGCGATACGAATAGTTATCCGAGTTTTACGGGAACTGATAGCTTTATTCACATTGATGATGAGGAGACTATGAAAAGGTAAGTAAAAACCATATTTTAAATATTAATATTTATTCAAGCTGCAAGCGAACTTTATTTTGTCCTAATTTGATTTTTTACGTTATTTTAAGGTTTTTCCGTGCAATATTTCTCTCCATAAAACCCCACAAGGGGGAGAAAAAAAAAAAAAAAAGAAGGGGGGGGGGGGCCCCCCCCCCTGGGGGTGGGGTTGGTGTGTTTTTTTTATTTTTTTTTGGGGGGGGGGGGGGGGGGAAAAAAAAAAAAAAAAAAAATTTTTTTATTACCAAAAAAAGGCCAAACGAGCGTGTTATTCTGTACAACTTGAATTTTGTATTTGCATCGAAATTTGAGTTAATAATTATGAACACACAGAAAAACTCCATTCTCTCTAAATGACAAAAGTCATTATTTTCTATAAATATGGACATAAATAATTCGCATTAAATAATAGTTAACATTTTGTTTTATCTATAATAAAAAGCACTCTCGAATTCAAAACATCTTATAAAAAGGTATTTATAATTTCCACAGATTGCTAAGTTACACCCTGGACATAAACATCCGTTTCCGGTCAGTATCACCCCACGGCCTGTTAGTATGGAGTGGCCGCGCTCCTTTATCTCCAAGAACAGACTTTCTTTCACTTGCCGTTGAGAACTCCGTACTTGTGTTTAGGTAAGATATTTATCGTGTAATATGTACAAATTGTCTCTGTATTATTTAAAAAAAGAAGCTAGGATATGAATTTAATAGGACGAAATGATGGCACGAAATGATAAATCCAACAAAAACGTGTTAAAACACCACAAGAAATTCGCCATGCGTGCGCGATGTGCACATAATTATTTCTTAAGTTCCTGAAATGTATTTTTATTTAGACGTTCATCTACATTGTATTTTATTAATACAACGTGTTAGTAAAAAATAATCGATAAAAAAAAATTTAAAACATTGAAATGTTATCGATTTTAATTCATATATTAAGCTGTTTATGGTGTTATTCAAAACAGAAATTCTGTATTACCAAATTTGGAAATTATTTTCAGATATGATCTTGGTAGTGGAGAGGTCGTTATAATAGCAAATCATACTAAAGTAGACGACGGATTATGGCACAGAGCGAGAGCTACTAGGTAAGAGTTTGACTAATTTAAGAAAAAAATCCCATGGAAATCAAATAAGCTCACTAATTCAAAAAAGAAAAAAATGTAGTGCATATGTTTTCTCTTTTATTGCAGCTCCATTTCTTGAGTAATTAATTATCTCGTAGGATAGGACAAGCTTTCTGTTTTATTATTTGCTACTATAAGAATAACGTCAACGTAACGACGGGTTCATATCGGTTTAAAGCTTTTAGTACCTTAAATAATAAATGTGTTATTTTTGTCTTATTTTTTTTCAAAGCTTTTTTCGTTTACATCCTATGGTCTGTATAACACATTTTTGAATGGACATTTCAGAAATCGACAAGCTGGTGTTCTAGAAGTGGATGGGCTGGGTTCAGTCGGGAAAATTTCTCCGGGAAAACTCAAACAACTAAACACTGAAAACGGATTATATATAGGTAGATAAACAGTTGAAAAGTTTTTTTCTATTTTTTTATTTATTATTATTGATGATATAGAATTTTTGTTAAACAAAGGTCGGTGGTTCAAATCTTATGAATGAAACATATGACAAATGACTAAAGAAGTTTTCATTACTTAATCCGTAAATCATTTCTTAATCCATAAATAAAACTTGTTTTGAGTAGGTTTCCTTTAAGGTATCTTATTTATTTTGGTATTGCAATCGGTATCTGTCAACCTGACAGTCTCAAACGTCATCAAGACTCGAAACGTCAAATTATGTAAATAATTAACAAAGCATTTACATATTATTTAAACGCGTTATACCCTCGTAAAGACTATATTAAATGTTCTAAATTAAACGTTTACATTCCAGGTGGTCTACCCTCAATAGAAATAAGCACAAACGGAAAATACAAGAGCGGTCTGGTTGGGTGCGTCTCACAAATATCGCTAAGTGGAGATTTTGACATCCCCTTAACTTTATCAAAACTACCCCACACTATAACTAACAATGTCGGTCAATGTACACCATAACAAAAGTGTTGTCAGAAACAAAAACGCAAATAAATTTATTTAGTTTTGCATATGGAGCCTACTCCTTAAATACATATCAGACAACATCGGCAATAATGTATCAATGTGGGTACTTTTAACTTCGAGTTATCTAACAAATTCGGTTAAGCTTAATGAGATTGTGTTAAGTGTTGTTATTCATTGTAATGTAATGAAATTAAAATTATTAAATCAGTCATAACAGCATCGATCTATCTCTTTTCATCACATAGTTAATATAATTGGACAAAAAGAGACAAAAATAAATCATTTCAATAAAATTGTCTGATACTCAGATTAAACTATAAAACGATATGACAGTATAAATTAAAACTATTTCAAAATAAATTCCAAGATTGATGGAATTTGGTAGTTTGCTCGAAAAAGTCCCAGTTTTTGGTTTGAATATGTATCCACGTTAGTCAATTTAGAATGAGCTGTGTTTGTTGCAGACAATTTTCTTATTAACTTTGATTAAAACAAATACTTGAACATTATTAAGCATATTATGGTAATTGAACAAGATCTAATATGTATCGAAGTCGAAATTCGAAGTGACAGATACTATCGCCTTTATCGTTTAAGTTCCATAATTCTTGTTCACTTTCGATTCTCTTTTATACAGTCATACCAAAATTAACCAAATAAAATATATAACAAAATATAAAAATTTAAAATTAAATAGGAATTAATTGTAAGTACGGATTAAACGGTAAGATCAGCGCGGAGTGGGGGTACATAATTGTAATTTTCTTTGCAACCTACCTTCAAAATGCAAAGGTTGAAAGATACCTAAAACATTGAAAATTTCAATTAATTAAATGGTAATGTGGTGTCATCTTGCAAGTGAATTTAGACCGTAATGTTTTGGTTGACAATTATATAAAAAGTTCCAAGATTTTCGATTTTCGCTATAATATTAATATTTAGTATTTGTTTTAATCACAGTAAAACTTAACCTTCTTTCGTACAATGTAAAACTTTTCGAAGTGCTTTACTATCTAGTAGATATGAAAAATACTATTTGTAATTAAATAAATTATAGTCGTACAAGTGATTTGCACGCAATTTAGTTTCATCACACGATTTGTTAGTGCGAAATCAGTGTTTTACTCGCTCTAGTCCATGCATCTAACATGGTAAGAGCGAGAGAGCAAATTCGCACGCTTTACGACCCTACTTAAGATCGGACTTAAGTTTTAACCTTGAATTTATTGACGGAGTTTTGGTGGAATCTTAAGTCATCTTAGGTTATGTATAAATTAGTATATAACACGTAATAGCGTTTGTATCGAATTTTGCATATGAACGTGTACTAGGAGTGAGTAGTAAATAAATAGCATTTGGTATTGAGCTTTTATATTTAGGCTTATGTTTGCTTAGCTTCTGTATCATTTAGTAGTATTATTTGCCATACAACCTATTAAAACATCCAACATTTACTCACAGCTTTATTTTGTATAGCTTCATAAGCAAGTCCCGTTTGGGTTAACACCAATGAGTTCGTCAATTAACTAATCCACAGGGTTAAATATAAAAAACATATCTTTCTTTGCATAAATCTTGCTCTAAAATAAATGATAAAAATGCAAATCGACCAATTTTTTTTATTACCTACTTAAATGTTTATAAAATATGTTGATTACATTTAACCAAATATGAAACTAGTCCACTTTGTTTAATACTATAAACTATAGAAATATGATCTCATACAAATTGTAATATTATTTAATAGATGTTTTGAGTGTTATATTTTCACAGGTCTGTAGGGGTTATTGAGATTTTTACTTGCATAATGTAGTCACAGTTTCCTTTCAAATTTGCATATTCTCACATTGGTGTTTTTAAGTATTTTTGCTTAATTTTTTTATCAGGCGTTATGTGAGGATAAATCTCAATAATGTAATACTGCTTTACATTGCATTTTGGTAAGTTTTATAACCACAGATTAACAACATAAAAAAAAGATTGTATATATGTTTTGGTTTCAAACCCTTCTCCGTTTTCTGTTTTTGGTGGTTAAAAAAGATTTTTTTTTAATTTCTTATAAACAAGGTATAAATTAGCATTTTTTACTACTAACCATCATATATCAAAAGAAACCTGTAAATGTATTAGCACTTAATAAAAATAATATATATTCAAAATAGGTATAACAGTCCATACCATAAAAAATGGTTAAATACCATTCTTCTTCTTCTTTATTTTTGAAGTGAAAACTTCTTTAGCGGCGTTGTACACTTCTTTTTTGGAATGGGTAAGAATTGCTAAACTCGCTTCAGGACACGTGACGTGATCGAAAATTCGTAAGACGGATGGAGAGTAGACAGCTGGCGCCGCGTATTTAATGTAATATAAATTGTCATGTTTGTCTACGACAGCGCAATAAAAAAATATTGTATTCTACCACATAAATGTTAGTACTTTTATACTGATAATTAAAGCATTTCGTGCAAAATTATTCCCGAACCATTCCAAAATAACAAAAATGCACAACGTTAATATTCAAGTTTTCACTTCTGCCGGCACTTCCGTAGTGCAACCCGTCGTTTTTTTGGACCGGCACGGTTAAATACCATTCAATTACACCTTCAGTTGGTGAGCCTTCGCGTGTAATTGTCACTATCACAGTCATGTCATTTGTCAAATTATCCTCCGATTTTCCATCTCGGATCAAATGCCTGTATTTTCTATAAACGCTTAAATTATTCTATATTCTAACATTGTGAACAAATATCCAATATATAATAGGAATTCTCAGAATTTACCATTTTGTCAACGTACATAAAAATATTAAGTGTTTCGACTTTCCAATTAGAGGCCCATACGAAAGAAGTGTAGGTAACTATTTATGGTGGCTTTTCAAAAAATATATCAATATTTAGATCTGGTCTGCACATTTTAGTTGACGTAATGGGAAACGCCTCTTCTTCGATTATGGCCATATACATTACAAATTATTATACCACTAAGCAATGTAAAGCAGGTTACCAGCGAAGTAGGAGTAACAAATAGCTTCGTAGACTTAGTTTTGTATGTGAACCTGTCCGATGTATTATATGCCGTTATTTGTACAAAAATTATAACACTAAAAATAACATGTGTTTTATTTTATGATGAATAATATGTAAGACCGCCTCCATCCTTTACCGAGTCTGAGATTTCAAGTTCTAAAGCGACAAAACGTTTGTTAGGTAATAGAAGAATGCAATATCTGTTCACTTTTTCTATAAAATTTCTATGTAAGTACTTATATACGCTGATATTTTCAAAAAATAATAAAAATTGTATATTTAGTAAACTAAAATGAATTTAAAAAGTTTGTTCCCTGTGGCAGTGAAACTTTGCTGGCAGCATTTCCTTGCGATATTTACCGAGGAATGCACTAGCTCTGGGGTCGCCGGTACTAACAGGCGCCAACTTGAATCTTTAATTAGCGCCTGTGCACTTGAATCCCACGGCCTAAAATCAAAGTTGGAGGACTCTTTTATTTTTGCCGTTAATTATTTTCTGCCTGCTCTATGGCAGCACCATCTCTTATCCGAGGTAGGTGAGACGGGGCTAACGTGTCGACAAAAAAGTAGTTGATATTATAAATTATTAATTATTTGGTATAGTTTACCCTACACCGTAATAATAATAATTTAAAATAAATAAAATAATGAGTATAAAAATATGTTTAATATATTTCATTGTTATGCCGCGTATAAAGTAACTCTCTATTTCTACATTTTATATACTTTTCCTCAAATTCCGTGCATTTAAAAACATTTATAACTTATATTAAAATTTGAATATTAAGTGGTAACAACTTAACTTATGAGTGAACGCACATATGAATTAGGTATCACATTATACACACATAACAGCTGTCAAAGTCAGCACTATTCATAAAACTCGTGTCTTGGTCTTGCCAGTTTCCTCGTGTCGTAAAGTGAGTCGTATTTAGTATTCTGTACTCTATAGTCAGTTCGGATTTGCTTTCGTACTAGGTAGTCGTGCTGCAAGTTTCAGAAAATACTTCGATAACAATTTTCAATTATCGTTGTACTTTGTGAAATTAATATTTGTCCAGTATTTAATAATAGTGTTACAATTTTTGGTTTATGTTGTAATTTTAAACTAATTGAACAATAGTTTGTCGCTTTGCATTCTTGGTGTATCGTGAAAACTTGTGAACCGTGAGAGTTGGAAACTTGGTAACGGATCTGCCATGTAAGTTATTATTGTACTAAATGTTGTAAGTTGATAATATGGGTAGCAATAATTATATATTTATAATACATTTTAATTCTTCAGAACTAATTTAACTAAGTAGGAATATTTCTTGATTACAAAAAACAATCAATTTCCGTGACGTGTTTTTGATAAAATCAAAAAGCATTTAAAGTATTTTTATCCAACATCACCGGTATTCTGTCATCTCTATCTTATCAGATGAGAGAATACCTCTGAAAATAATTTAATCCAAAATCTCTACCGAAAAACAAACAAATCACTTTACTTATAGATAATTACATAAGTTATACTATCTAAATTAGGAAATGGGAACTTATAAAAGGGAAGTTATTGAATTTAAATAAGGATAATGGTAGGTTGTTCCAGGACACTAAACTCTAAAGGGTGTCATTGACATATCTAACAATCACCGTAACGAAAAGGAATTCTTTTTCATTATTTTCAACATCACGACATGAATTAAATGTTGTAAGCCTAGCGGTAACGTCGTGCTAATAATATTGGGTTGTATTTACGTCGCACGAATTTGATGATGCTGATTATGCAGGAATCTTGGGGGACCTTGATTGGAACACCTCCAAGTGATTTTTGCTGTCGGAAATGCGTCTAAGTATATTTAAAAAAAAAAAAAAATTTGTGAAATGTATTGAAATTTGTAAACAATCCGCCATTTTCTACTTTTATATTGGTTTTAAGAGATGTGACATATGACATTCTCGTTAAAAAATTGTTTTTTTAATTAA